GCCAACCACAGTTTGTTGGCACCTACAAGTACAGCCTGGTGGGGCCTCCTGATGGGGAAGGCGGCGGGGAAGTTGCAGGGGAAGTGCCCTGCATCTGGCACCCAGTACACGGGGCCATGCTGCACCACCACTGTCAGGCGGGGAAAAAGTGAACAGGGCACACGCAGCTCGGCACCAGGCGGCTTGGGGGACACAGGTATAGGGCTTGGGGCTGAGGGTGAGAGCCCACACCATGCGCATCACTGTGGGGGACGGGGCCATCCTGAGCACTGTCTAGTGCAGGGGTGGGCAAAATGTGGCCCACCAGGCCATTCTATGTGACCTGCGGGGCCCCTAAAAAGTTGAGAAAATTAATATTTATCTGCCCCTGGCTACCTGTCATGCAGCCCTTGATGGCTTGCCAAAACTCAGTAAGTGGCCTTCCACCTGAAATAATTGCCTGCCCCTGTGTAGAAGGGGCTGCCGGGCAGGAGCTTTCCTCTATGGAACTTTGTTCCTGAGCCTCTCCGTCCCCGGATCGGGCCTTTGCTCCTGGGCTGCCCCAAGTGAAACCCTGCCCTAGCGGCTGGGAAGGTGCAGCAAGATCGCCCGGTGGCTGGGAAGAGGGGCTCTGGGAGTCCCTGGCCATGCTGAGCCATGAGCAAGGGAGAAAAGCTAGGCAAACCCTGGCTGGGGTCCCTGCAGGCCAGGGTGGGGATTTAAACCCCACCCCAGTCATATTCAGCCTGCCAGGGCCTGGCCACACAGCCCTCAGTTCAGCTTCCCTCCTGCCTGAAGGGAAGGGAGAGCTGCTCCAGAACCCCCCAGCTTCTAGGCTGAGCCACTGCTGGCATGTGCCTGCATTTCCGGACTCAAATGTTAATGTCTATTCACTTGCAAACCAGTTCAATTTACACAGATTAGGCTAACCTGCAAAGATTGAATCAATTCAGGCTCCAGCTTTTTGAATGTCTGTCCCCAGTGAAGGGGTGACTGCTCTAAACTTGAATTATCACTAGCACTGACCAACAGTTGAGCAGCTCAAAGTGCAATGTGTAAGAGTGTTGTTACACAGTACTTTTGAGCAGCTCTTGGAGTTCTTAATACCTAGATTATCTGCACATTCATGCATGAAACTTGTTTTACACATTTATTATAGGCTCAAAAAGTTACACTGCGTCAGGACAGGATTATCTCTGACCCATGCTGCCCAGCCTGTATTACACACAGGTGTGTCAATCTAGGCTACAGGGGTTTGGGTTGTAGCTGTGTTGGTCTAAGGACATAGGCAGACAAGGTTCCTTGGGTGAATTTGATATCTTTTATTAGACCAACCCAAATGGTTGGAGAATAGTTATTAAGCAAGCTTTCAGGTTCAAAAACCCTTCGTCAGGCTAAGGAAGTTTCAGCAGTTGGTGTGTGCTAGGCTACACTTTAGTGTAAACATCCTACTGGCCCTCCACCCCACCAGCTCACATCTGGCCTACTGATCCCCTCCAGCCTTCCCCAGCACCCCAGATCCCTGCTCACTGCCCGCCTTGCCCTCCTTCCCCACTTACTTGCGGCTGCCTGAGCTGTCTGTCCCAGGGGAGCAGGCAGGGAAGGATTAATTCATAGATTCAGAAGGGACCACAAAGGATCATTGTGTCCGACCCCCTGCCCCTGGCAGGAAAGGTAACCGAGGTCAGGTGACCCCAGCCAGGTGTCTATCAAGCCTCCTCTTGAAGACCTCCAAGTTACATGATAGCACCACCTCTCTTGGAAGCCCATTCCAGATTCTGGCCACCTTACTGTAAAAAAAATTCTTCCTAATGTATAACCTGAATCTACTTTCCACTAGTTTGCACCCATTATTCCTAGTTACTCCTAGGGGTGCTGTGGTAAACAGCTCCTCCCTTGATAAACTTCTAGGTGGCTACAAGGTCTCCCCTCAGCCATCTCTTGTGAAGGCTGAAGAGATCCAGAGCCCTCAACCTCCCCTTGTAGGGTCTTGCACGGAGGCCACTAATCATGTGAGTGGCCTCCTCTGAACCCTCTCCATGTTCTCTGTGTTCCTCTTGAAGTGCGGCGCCCAAAACTGGACACAGTACTCCAACTGCGGCCTGACCAATGCTGCATAGAGGGGGAGCATCACCTCCCTTGATCTGTTGGTCATGCATCTGCTAATGCACGACAAGATGCAATTGGCCTTGTCGATGGCTTTGTTACACTGCCAGCTCATGTTAATTTTGGAGTCAACTATGACTCCAAGATCCCTCTCAGCCACTGAGCCAGTCATCCCCCAACCTATTGGTGTGCTGGGGATTCCTCCTCCCTAGGTTGAGTACCTCGCATTCATCTTCGTTGAACTGCATCCTATTTCATTCTGTCCATTGGTCCAACCTGTCCAGGTTGGCCTGTATCTGCTCCCTGCCCTCCGATGTGTCAACTTTGTTCCGTACCTTGGTATCATCTGCGAACTTGGATAAGCCTGCCTGCCCAGCTGCCCCTGCAGCAGCTGCAGTGGGGCAGGCAGGCTAACCCTTTCTTGCCTACTTCCCTGGGACAGACAGCACAGGCAGCCACAAATAAGTAATGCTCCAGGGACAGGGGAACACAGGGCGGGGGAAGGCATGGGAGGAAGCCCAACTTTGTTCCGTACCTTGGTATCATCTGCGAACTTGGATAAGCCTGCCTGCCCAGCTGCCCCTGCAGCAGCTGCAGTGGGGCAGGCAGGCTAACCCTTTCTTGCCTACTTCCCTGGGACAGACAGCACAGGCAGCCACAAATAAGTAATGCTCCAGGGACAGGGGAACACAGGGCGGGGGAAGGCATGGGAGGAAGCCCAGAATGGGAAGGGATCGGGGAGGGAATTTTTGCATTTCAGTCCTCCAGGCCCTTCCTGGCCTGAACATGTGACTGCTCCAAACTGGAGCTAGCACTAAAGGGCCTTGTGTCTTACTCTGTGAACTGCTGTAATCGGACGGGTGCCCCGGGAGCAGTTGTTACACCCATGTGTGGCAACTCGATTCCTGCTCTCACCTGCCACACCCTGATCTTATTAACAAAACTTAGAAAGGGAGGCTGCCTACAGGTCTTACAGCATGCCCTAACTTGTCTGCTTCACCCGTGGATCCTTCTTGGACCCAGCAGCTCTCAATCACTCTT